ATCGGAATTTGTATAGACTGAAGGGCTAAGTGGGCGTTAACATCAAAATTTGATTTCAAGGTATAAGAATCAGAAATAATTGAGTATTTTATTTGCCGGAAAGCATGACTTGTTGGTAATTAGGTGGTGTAAGGTTTATGTACGATATCCAGACATCTCACAGATATAATGACATCTTTCTAAATCAGTCAAGGACACGCAATAAATAGGATAAAAACGATCGACAGTTTAATTTCATTACGCGTTTTTAAAATAGGTCGGTCGTTGAACTTTGCTAAACGCGTAATTGTGCTCTTTTTTAAAATTGTTAAGTAATTTTTTGTGAATATCAAAAGGTTTAAGCTTTCATCAGATAATTAGTTACATGTAGTCATCGAATTTTGTTATTTAATATTTTACTTAAAAGTACAGCGCTATTTGCAAGAGTAAAAAACTAATTTTTAACTACTTCCTTTAAAATGGTCGTCTGAGGTGTATATAAATTAATTTTTATTTTCGTCTTAGTGAATAATTTTTAATTTAATTGTCGGTCGAGATGAGCAACGAAATTCCGTATCTCGGAAGCAAGATTAGTTTGATATCAAAAGCTGAAATACGATATGAAGGTGTTTTGTACTCCATTGATGCCAACGAGTCTACTGTGGCTCTTGCAAAAGGTGTTGCATTTTATTGCGTTATTATTTCAATATTACAGTGGTACTCCTCCCCAACGACTTTCCCATTTCCGACTCTCTCTCATTCCCGACCGTTTTGTTTCTGATGGATATTTTTCACATTAAGCGTCACTCCCAATCTATGACTCCCTTCAAAACATGACCAATGATCTTAAAATAGCAAAATACACACAAAAATTATCATTAAATTAAAAGGTCAAATTTATGACTTGTAAAATTTTCAGTATACACATTCAAAACATGCCATCATAATTTACAAGCAAAACAAAACTTCTGGATTCTTTTTTTATATTTATGCATTTTTGAAGTGTAGATTCAAGATCCCAACGACTAATCTAACTAATGTCATTGAAGGTAATCACTTTCTGGTTTTTATGTTTGTTTTATTCTTTTTTAGCTTTTGTTTTTAAATTTAATTGTGAAACGTTTATTTTTTAAACCTTATTTCAACTTTCTAAGCAAAAAATATTTAATATGTAAATAATAATTTTCAGATGATGTAACACAAATTGAAATGGAAAAAGAGAACTCTGCAAATGAGGTCAAGTTTCTCAATGGCATGACATTAGAATAGTTTGCTTTAGTAGATGACAAAGTCCCAACATGTGCTAAAACAGAGAAAGATAACTTGGATATTCAGTCATAACCTGAAGAAGATCCACAAAGAGATAGAACTTATGAAATAATTGAACCAGTAATTTCTTTTACTGCTGCCTCTAAAAGTACTCTGTAAGTACTAAAAGTACTAACAGTTGATTCATTTTACACTGACTCATGGATTCAAAGGCATTTCAGAACTTTTGGAAAGAATTTTCATGGTCAAATTTAAACAGAACATTTTAGAAAGAAGTCAACAGTTGTTTAACCTTCACTTCATTTTTTCCCCAAAATAAATTAAATTTTTTAGTTTAACAAAACAACATAGTTTTTCCAAATTATATATTGTATGAATATAATACAAAGCAGTGTACATTTACTAATTGAAAATAATGTATACATCTTGTGTACCTTTTCTTTATTTGGTTATAAATATGCTTTCTCTTCATTTTAGACCCCTCCCTTTAAAGACCTGATTTTTTTGACATTTTTAAAGTCTTTAATAAGGAGTGCCACTGTACTAAATTTAATTAATATTTTTAAATGGAAATTTTTTTTGAAAGTATGACTATTGTTCATTTGGAAAAATTAATAAAAGTTTTTTATTTTTAGATAAAGATAATGCATCCAACAATTTGTTACTAAAATTTAGTCAGGTCTTTTGGTACAGAGGACCGACACACGGATCACCCTGTCCAGCCCAGAGATGAAATTTTTGAATACATAATATTTCGAGGTACAGACATTAAAGATTTACATGTGTGTGATACTAACAAGCTTACACCTCAAGATCCAGCTATTGTTCAGGTTGACATTTGAAATTTGACCTCATTTTTACTTCTGGCCAATTCACTATTTGAAATAAATGTTCTTTTGCAAATCATCATAAGAAGTTTGACTTATACCATAGTTTATTGAAATACAATGTAATTTAAAGTGAATGTTCTATTTTTGTTTCAGTCTTCTATGTCCTCAAGCCAGATTAACTCTGTAGGTAGCAACAATGTGTATCCATTTGGTGGGGGGCCACCACCTACGGGCTCCTACTCTGCCCAACAAATGCCTGGCCAGTACCCTCCCTACAATGCATTCGGAGGTCATAGCTATCAAAGTCATTCAAATTATCAAGGCAGTCATTCACAATTCAGTGGTGCTCCATCAACTCATTCAGGTTTTTAACTTATTTCATCCTCATTAGTTTAGAATTCATTTAAGATTTATCAGACATTTTGGAATACACTGATCATATTCATTGAATGATTTATTTGATGATTACATCATCTTTGCGTTTATTTTACTTTAATTTTTTTTGTGGTGTATCATCATCATCTCAAGACGAATAGATATCTAATGAAGAACTTCTACACATTAGCTAATAATTAACATTAACCTTTTTCAATATTTGGTTTTTGAATTAAAATTAATTTTATTTTCTCAATAGATTCTCGTAGTCCGTCACCACCACCTCAGCAACTACCGCAATCTCTGACCAATAGTAATGCAGCAGCTATTAATGTAGGCGGTCCTAATGATTACTCTCCTGCTATATTGGATGAAAGGACGAGGGGAGGTTCAAGTAGAGGTGGAGCTTATAATAGAGGTTTGTTGATTGGTTGGATCAATATTGTCTCCATTCAATTTTTTTCCTTGGTTTTTGTTCTCTTGTTTGTTTTTCAATCAGTTCTTCTTTAGTTTTTATTCAGGTTTTTTAGGATGTTGACCAGGTTTTATTTAGATGATATAAAAATAATTATTTTAATCTTCCTTTCTTTTACTTCCTAACAGGTACAGGTAGGTACAGTGATTACCCTCAAGGCGTCCAACAAATGGGCCTTCCCTCGCAACACCAACCACCACCACAACAACAACAGCAACAACAAAATTATATCAATCGAGAGTATGTGAGATCAGACTACCAGCAACAACAACAACAACATAGACAACAGCAGCAGCAAAGACAACAATCTCATCACAGCTATTTAAATAACAGAGAAAATGGGCCTTCTAATATTAGGTCAGTTAATATTTTTCTTCTGTCGTCCTTTTACTTCATGTTCTGTTCATGTCTAAAGTGATTTTGCTTCTGTAGAGTTCTAAATAATGCAGAGTTTGTCATTGAAAATTGGCGCCAAAAGACTTTCTTCACATAGTCATAAGCCATGAAAATTTTTTTGTTGAATATTTTAAATTTTTATTGATACATTTAAAAAATTTTCAAATGCATAAGTTCGATTTTTTTAATAAATATAAATGTTCGAAATCATTCTCCACTGAAAAGGTATAACAAAGAAAACTACCCATCACAGTACCCACCCTCAGCTGCACCCTCACAACAACAACAACAGTATCGAGACTCATCACCACCACCATCACACCAACAACAGCGTGGCTACCCATCGAACAGCAACAATGTAACATATATGAAATCATCACCTGGCAGTGCACAGCAGCAGCAACAACAACAATATGATTACAGACTTCAAAGAGGGAGAGGACCAACAAGAGGTGTGGTGATTTTTTTCTAATATGTAATCTTATGCGTGTATGTTTCTGTTTCTTTTATTTGTATGCATTTTTGTATGTGTGCCTGTATGTGTATGTATGTTTTGTTTGTTCATGTGTATCTAATTATTATTTATGTTTATATAATCTGTATCTGTGATTGTTTGTTCCTAAAAGAGTTAGTGTTCACCAGATTGTATGTGTTAATTGGAGCATGTGTGGATGATATTTATTTATCTTCTATGACAATTTTATTTGAAATATTTAGGTTACTTCAATAGCACATCAAACTTGCGACTAAATCGAGGTGGTCACATGATCAGAGGGTCCAGCCGAGGCTACGGTGGCAGGCCGGGGTACATAAGGTTTGGTCGACCAGGTGTATTGAAGTTTGACTCAGAGTTTGATTTTGAGAGCTCTAATGCTCAGTTTGATAAATGCCAGATTGAGAAGGAGTTGAAAGAAAAGCTCAAAATAGGTTGGTTCTTTGTTCTTTGAAGTTTCTCTCTCTTTTTCTCTTTTGTTTTTTTTCATATTTTCTCTCATTTATCTTTTTACCTTCTATATTTTGCTTTGTCTTCTTTTCTTGTGTTTATTATTTTTCATCTTTGAGAATAATTTTTTTATATCTTTAGTATATTGATATAAATGTGTTTGTTCACTTTTAAATCTGTTTTCTGATAAATTTGGTTGATTTCGTTGGTGCAATTTCTCTTCACTATCACAACATGTTTGAATGAGATCATTGTTACTGTTGTTGTCATTACATTTAATTTGTCAGCAAACAACTCTGAGGTAACTGCACCACACACACAACACACACACACAAACAAGCAACTTTGAAATAACAACACACACACACACACCAAACACACACGCACACACAAAAAACTTTGAAATAACAACACACACACACACATACACCAGAGAGTAAAGACCAGTCATCAGGAGACGACCCAGCAGCAGTGGATGGGGAGGGTGATGATGTAAATGGAGAGGTCGGTCAGTCAGGCCACAGTGCTTATTATGACAAGAACAAGTCCTTCTTTGATTCCATCAGCTGTGAGGCTCTAGATACTAATGGGTCAGTTTGCTGGCTGATTAGTTGGCTAATTGATTGGTTAATTAATTCATGAAGAGATTGAATGTAAACTGGTTTGTTGATTGATTGATTGAATGGTTAAAAGATTGATGTTTATAATATTTGTTAACTCACTGGCTATTTCTATTGATCTATCTGCTTTATCAACTAACTGCTTTGAGCGCATTATGCCTTCACTGAAATATTACTTAGAAACAAATGAATTTTAAAATTTGTTTATAAGAAGTTTTCATTTGAAGTCCAGCATATACAAATTGAGAAATATAAATTCTCTCAGCTGACATGTTCCTATTATTTCCATCATTAATTTGTCATGGCCATTCATTCAGCTCTGCTGCTCGTACGAACTGGCGGGAGGAGAGAAAGTTGAACTTTGAGACGTTCGGTTTACGAGGTTCCAACGGGTTCAGAGGTCGCTACAGAGGCCGAGGTGGCGGCGGTTCGTACAGCCGTGGATACGGGGGCATGGATAATGGGTACCATTCAAATAGAGGAGGGTATGGGGGCTTCAGAGGAGGTGACAGAAGTTGGGGTAGGTGTTTGTTTCTGTTTTTTTTTTGTTTGCTCATCTCGTTTTTTGTTTTTAATTTATTGATGAAGAATTATTCTTTCAAACTTTTTTCCATCAAATCCTATTTTACATGCTTTTTGTCAGGTATTATTTTCTTTTTTTTATGTTGAAAAATATTCAAAAAGCCTAAATTGCTTAATACGAGATATGATTGACACTAACAATTGAAACTAACGACAAACAGCCAACCAGTACAGCAGAGGAGGTGGGCGTAGCTACCGTGGGGGTGGTTGGAATAAGCAGCAACAGCAGCAGCAGGAGGCTGGTGACAACAGAATCGTCGAATCGACTTCTTTAAACAACAACCAACCTTCCACTATTAATAAATAAAAGTTTAACAATCAATACATTTATAATGGTCGTAATGATGATAATATTTATTGATACTAGTAATGATAATTATAAATAAATATAGTGGTGAAATGGTATAGCCATGCCTACCATATACATATAAAGTTCACATTGTTATGTTAGTTTTCCTTGTATACCTGTGTATGTTCTTAAAAATTTCGACCAACTCTCTTAGATTTTGTTTATTTAAATATTATTATCTTGAAAAGTGTTCGATTGATGATGTTTTTATTAAGGATAGTTATTAATGATAATGCTTTTTTTAGGATTATTTTCTTGACTTTTTTCATGAATTTTTTTTCTGCAGGTATGAGAGGTGGAAATAATTTTAGGACAGAATACGTTGAAACTGCTGAGAGCACGTAGTTCAAATAGAATGATAAAAATATTAGTAATAGACAACAATACTAATGTTAATAATAATTATAATAACGATAAAGAACAATAATAATAATAATGAATGGAATTAATTATAATAATTGAAGAAAAAGGGAGTGATGTATTGTTATTATTATTATTATTATTGATCTGTCCAGTGAATTACGTGCTTTTGCTTACGGAAGTATAAACATCTGATGTGTATACTTTATACAGCTACTACTACGCCAACAATGAGATGATGATGGGATTAAAATTTTATCGTGTGTGTGTTTGCGGCGGATGTTTGTCTACCTTCTGACTGATGTGATGGCTAACTAGTGATGATACTGGCTGATTATTTTACGATGAGGATGGTGATGTGATGTGAATTATATCCTGTGTATTTATATACGCTACAGTGATATTATCACCGATGATGATAGTGTCTGATGTGATTTAATGATGACAACATTGATTACGGTGATGGTGCTTGCTTGAATATGAATACTTAAAATGCCGAGATGACGTTTATTAATAAAATGATAATACTGATTGAATTATAGTTATGATTGAAACCATCAAAATGTTGGAAGGTGAATTTATCTAATGATTAATAGTAGCAAGCAATGTAATGTTTAAAACTGTTAATTCACTTGCACTCATTCGTTCATTCATTCTTTCCTTCTGCCATTCGTTTATTCATTCATTTATCCATTCATTCACTCGTTGAATATCCTTAGTCTTAATATAGATATTTTGTCGAAAAACCACTCACTGATTTAGTGTCATTGTAAAGTACTGATATTAATGCAAGCATTTTGTTGCTGTGTTAGTTAATGTGTCTTGCTGCAACTTTTTGGAATGGTGGTGGTGGTGACGACAACGATGATTGTTGACGAAGGTTACTGTAATGTGATGTAAGTAAGCGGTGATTGTTGTTACAGTGTTGTTTATCATTAGCTATGTAAGCTACTGCTATAGCAGAGAAATAGAGATTTTTTTTAAAATAATTTTTAAAAGTGATATGGCGTTTTTATTCATTTAAAATATTTAAATTGCTAACCTCTTTAATGAAATTTCGTAATTATATGTAGCTTGATTTTAATGATTTCTCGGAGAGTTCATTGCACACAGAGGAGTTTTTTACTTGTTCTCATTTGCTGGGTGTACTGTTTTAATGAGATATAATAATGTCGTAACGATTTATGTCCTGTTCAATTTTTGGTTTCTACACCATAGGAAAGGTTATTTAGTTTTTATGAAATGATGGTGTAAGATATTTGTATCTATCCTACAAATGATACGGTATCAATCCTACAAATGATAACGGTGTCTATCTTACAAATGAAACGGTATCTATCATGCCAATGATATAGCATTGACGAATAATTTATTATGAAATTTTTTGGATTTAATCAATTGGTTAATCAATTTCATAAAACCACATCAGTTTTAGACAGGAATTCTTTTAACATTGCAGTCGTGTAACATTATCTTTAATTGACTCATTAAATTACCTAATGATCTTTAATTGAATTACAAAATTACTCAATGGTTCATTTAATTTTATTACAGAATTACTTACGTGTATAAACTGTTGCAATTGGATATATCAGATGCGTCAATAGCATGATGCCTCGCAGTGCTATTTAATGTGTCTCTTTGCATTTGTTTGTACGTGTTTTGTATGCGTTATTTCTTCACTTAAAATTGGATTCTTATATTATTACTGTTATTATATATTATTACTGTTATCAGTAATAATGTTATTAATGTTATTATTATCTATTTACTGTGTGGCGTTGCCGCGGTTTTCATTATAAAGTAATTTGTGATTTCTATTCTGATCAGTCTTTATACTATCAAGGTTAAGATTGTTACAGACAAATTGTGCATCTGGCGGGGTATGATTTTATTTTAAGCCTAAGAAAAAAAATTGATCTATCTATCTCTATCTTTCATTCTTTCATATAATCTCTCGAAGTTTTTTTTTAATTTAAATAATTTTGAATACTTATATCATTACCAGATGAATGATACGTGACATCTTTAAATATTAGCCGTGCCATTACTAATAATAATTGATAACTTCTTGAGGAGTGGAATTAGTAAGATGAAAATTATTAACTACAAGGAGAAAATGATTTGATTTGATAGAAAATCTATCAGCTGATATTTATCGTTCATTGTATCATGTAAAAATAACAATTTCAATAATGGTAATAGTATATTATAATAGAAATAATAATAAATTTTATTAATAATAACAATAGTGGTCATCTTTTTTTAGGTTATTCTTTATGCTTTTTTTGTGCAAATTCGGATATTTTCATACTAATTGAAGACGTGATTTATGGCGTGATGCAGCGGTGAGTTACATTATTCCAAAAAAATTTGTATGTTTATTAGTAAGTAATGCTATTAAACAGAGAATCCTCTCTGCCAGTCTGTCTGTTCATTGATTCTTCAGTTTTGTCCATTTTCAGTTTGGATGAAGTCTCGAAAAATCAAATTATTCGCAGGGAAACGAATTTTTTTAAATTATTGGAATTATAAAACTGTTATATATATGTTGTGTTGGATTTTCAACAGTGGAACATGTCTACTTGCAACCATTTTTTTAGTCACACGCACACGTAACACTATCAAATGATAACGCTTTATAATGAGTTTTACATAACAAGCTTTCATACCATAATATATTATTTCTGTTAGATCTAATCTGAAATTTCTATAAGAATCAAATTCTTTTTTCTTTGTTAATTAATTAATCATCATCTTCATTTTATGAATTTAAAATGTTTTTTCATTTAATTTTCACAAGATGTTTTTAGGATGTTGTTTGAGAACCGATACAAAATATGCATTACTGTCTTACTACTGCGTTAGTATGACACGTGTGATCAATGTGGATAATAATAATAATGGTTATAATAGTAATAGTTAATAACGAAACACTAAGTTAACGTTTAGACTAAGTTTTTAACGGAATCTGTACCCTAAATTTATTTGGTATTTTTCATGCATAACAAGTGAGAAGAAAAACATGGCGTCAATAAACGAATATAACGTGACACAAGCTCTTGTTTTTCTTTATATTTCGGGCCTTCCTTTACTATGAAATACTTAAACTACATTCCGATGAACTTGACTCAAATTTGCAAATGTTTTTATAAAAATGAGTCATCCTAACTTGAAATGAAATAGGATATATATATATATATATATATATACGTATATATATGTCCATGTTAGCGATTAAGATTAACTCGAGAAACACTTATTTGGTCTGGTCGTTGATTTAGACATTTTATCCTCGTATGTGGATGGAATTCACCTATTAATTAAAACTCTTTAGTACAAAGGAATGTTTTGATCACTAAGCTCTTAATTTCAGACATTTCCGCGATACCGTACACCTTTTTTTAGATCTGCTTGTTATAAACCTGCGGGACCCACTTTACAACTAATTTTACCTGTTTAATTGTTTAATTTTAATTGTTATCTAAATTTAGTTAAGTTGTTGAATTTGTGAAAAACAACTGCTTGTTTAACATGATACATAGATTTATTGGAGAGTTTTTTCAAAAAAAAAAAACGATACAGATTAATATTTGTATATACGTAGCTGTGCTAGATGAGCTCTCTATGAGCTTTATCACAGTCATCCTGGCTTCATTTTTTTGGGAGTGAATAAAAGATCGTATCGTATCGTACGTGTCTGACGAAATGAAGAAATTATATACAGCCCTACCTACGAAAGATGAAGCGTAATATTTACTTTAATCCTTTACTTGAAAAGTAAATTGAATATAGAAAAATTACGAGATAACAAGCATTGTCATCGCTAGAAGAATTTTTACGTTCGCAAGAAATGTCACGTTGATGTCACTTAATGATCGAATGAAATAACGAGAATTATGTGGTTATGACAGAAAATCATTAGATGTAAATATTAATTAGAATTAGTGCAAAAATTACTCACATCTAAGTTGAAATAACAATTTACACGAAAATTAACGATCATCTCAATCAACGTCACCAACATAATTGAATAATTATATAAGACACTATATAGGAGAGGCTTAAAATAGATTTCCCAGTAAAGTTCAACAGACGATGATTATTGGTGTAATTCATCATCTCTTAAATAAACATTTAAACAACTTAATTAGTTTCCACTAACTACCAAAACGAATGCTGACTCGTCATAATTATTATTGCTATTTTCTTCCTTATCATCTTCACCATCCTCAACATCACGTGATCATGTACGACTAAAGAAAAAAGACTACAAATATTTTGACTCAAATATTCGGATTCTTGTCAACCAATCAAAATTCGGGCAACCCTGACAGGTGGAATCACCTAAGAAGCCCGACTTTCTTGGCATAGCAGAGGAGGGCCTTGTAGCAGAAGGCATACTGATCGGACATTTGAATACTGAGTGCCCTCTGTGACCTTATCTTGCGAATGACCTCCATGACGTTCACCTTGTTGCTGTGCTTCAGGGCTTGGGTCATGATGTCGATAGCTATGTAGGTGCCTACGAACGATGATGATTATGATGATAATAATAAAAATAAAATAATAATAGTATGTTTTTAGTACCAGTTGAGTGAAAAATTGATTCCAATAAACATTCCTTTATTGGAAATCTTAATGGAAATAAAGGAACGAATTGAATTTAATTAGTTACAAATTTGTACAACACTTAAGTGATATTCTTACATTATTTTCAATCTACAAAAATTCATTTGAAAACATTTTATCATCAGTTTCTCTTTACACATTCAACAAAAACAAAATAAAACAAAACCCAAACAAACAAACACAAACAAATAGACAAACAAACACAAACAAACAGACAAAATAACAAACGAACAAACAAAAAAGAAAACCAAACCCAGACCTGATCTGCCAATACCAGCACTGCAATGAACAACAATAGGAGGCTCTGCGACATTCCAACCATCACCATAACAACCATTAATAATACTATTACTACTACTGCTTTTTCCTTTAGCAGTAGTTGCAGAGGCGTTGTTGGCGACAGAATCGTTTCGAATCTTGGACCACATGGTGGCTTGCACCTGCCTCACGTAGAACATGAGTTCGAGGAATGATTCGGCTGAAGTAGGGACTCCGTAGTCGGGCCAGCCGAGAAAGTGGATGTGCTTGATCTCGCGGCTTTCCGATGTCTGTGGCGGCGATAGTGACGTTGTAGTTACGGTGATGACGTAATGATGACATCGATGACGAAATAACGATGAAAGTGAAGAAATAATGATGATGACAATGTAGTGGTAATGATGAACTTGTGGTAAAGAAGTTTCTGACGATGATGTCAAGATGAGAATAATGACAATTTTGAAAAATTCCAATTAAAAATCATCTCTAGCAAGCATTGAAAATAGGCAAACACACGAAGTAGCAGTGACCTTGACATTCTGTAGCAACAAGGTCGTAGTGACCAGGTCACCCGAGGTCACTGAGCCGCAGTTGATGACCGCCAAACTGTTGTGCGTGTCTATCGTGCTATCGTCCTTCGGCCAGTACTGCCCACATTTCGTTCTACCTCTTTCCATCAATCTATCAAGACGAATGAATGAATGAATGAATGAATGAATGATCAAATAAACGGAAGATCAAATAGATGAATAGATAAATGAATGAATGAACCCAGCAGCCAATCACATACTTGGTGGTCATGACGACGACCATGACCTTCTGTTCCCAGACCATTTGCCAAAAATCCGCATATGGGGATCCTCA